AGGTTTTATTATTGTATATCTGTTTGAAACTGTAGGGCGGGCGTGCTGGTTAGGGGGTGAGGGGGAAGTGGACAATTGAGTAGAGGAATATGAAAAGGATGGAGCGTTCATATTTGGGATTTGATGTGAATTTATTGAGGAATTATTAGCTGTTATCGATGCATAGGTTACTTTAGGAAATAATTTAAGCGTTTCTTTGAAAGACAAGCTGTTTTCAGACATGTAATGTTTTATTTTTTTTTGACGGTCAAATTCTGGACATAACTCCCATTCTTTAGTGAAGTGTTTACCTTCACAGGAGAGACATGTTTTATTAAAATATGATAAAGAACAAGAATCGGAAAGGTGGGACTCATGATATTTAAGACATCTAGGGTTGCTTTTACATTGCTTACTCATGTGTCCATACCTATAAACAGTTGTAGCAAATAATTACTTTTTGCTGGTATTTTTCTACATTATGTAAAACATGGTTAATTACGATATATTTTGGTATATTTTGACATTTAAATGATACAATTACCGATTTTGTAGGTTTAAAAACTACTTTATCATCTGTTACTATTTTTCTCTTTATTCTTTTTACATAATCCACCGAGAATTTACAATGATGATCAAATTCTTTTATTTTATCCTTAAGATATTCTTCCGATATATCTGATTCTATATCCCTAACTACACCTAATTTAAATAATTGAAATTTCGGAATATATGCAATTAGATTTTTTTGAATAAGCAATTTAGAAGTAATTAAGGTATTTGCACTAGCATAGTTTTTAAATGTTATTCTAATACGGTTGCGTCCAATTGAATCAATTTTTTAATATAATTATCAATTTCCGGATGTAAGGTAAATAATATTTCACCTATCTTAACTGCACTTAATTTGCCTGTAAAATTTTTATCATTGTTTTCAATAAAAATGTGAAATGGCCCTAAATCAGTTTTTTCATATAAATATACAGGTCTGCTTTTTTCTGTCTCAATAGAATTTAGTGAGGTACTTTGTTTATCAGTTTTTAAATTATTAATATTATTAGGACTACTTATCGAGTTTTCTAGCTGATGGGATAAAAATCCATGGGAACCATAACTGCAATCATCCATCTCATCCTGATCCCTTTGCATTTTATCGGGGGCTCGCCCCCGTTAGAAGACTCCATAAATGGAGCCTTCGACGACTAAACTAGTACTAATGTATATGTATTAAACTGTGGTAATCGAATCTAACTATTTAGCACTTTAAACACAAAGATTCTCGGAGAACTTTAAAATGTATAAATTAACTTAAAATTATATGTTAAATTATCTGAAATTAAACTTTAAAATGCGGAGAACTATTAAATTCGTATTTACACTTTGACGTTTATTTGACAGATGACAATAACTAAAAATAGCTATAGAAATACATATTTAAATATCTAATACTTTGTTTATGTTTATTAACTTGATATTTATTCACTAATTTCTTTTTTCGAAGTTTATTATATCATAATTATAATACCAACGAAAACGTAAAATTCAAATTAATGCATCTCGAATATGACGCGTGCACCGTGGCGATAATAAAAAAATGAATGAAGAATGAAAAAAAAAATAAAATTTTTTTCAAATTAAATACGTAACGGAAACGGTGTGAAATACAATAATATAAAAAAGTTTATATTTACTTACCAAAGTGTAATATCCATGTTTGACAATCCGAAGGATTTTTTGTCGGAAATCTGAACATTTTCAGTCCATGAATCTTGGTGATAAACCACATTTGTAATAACAACAAATACTTCCAGTCATCTGTAAAAAACCATTTATTTATTATGGAAGAAACACTATTTTAATTTAAAATCATTTTCTTTCAAATATTATTGGATGTATGTATTACCAGGTAAAATTTATTTTTAAATACCTAATTTTGTTCATTTCTCATAAAAATGATTCTTTATGTTTTAAACACATAGGATTAAAATGTTTTACTTACCTCGGACCAAATGTTTTTAATACACTTCCAAATAAATTACAATATTTAAATTATTTAAACTTATTTAGATGGAGATATGAAGATTTAGAAGCCACAGTATGTTTATGTACTATTTTAGTTGACACGATATTTACTAGTTGATAGTAATAACAATAACTCTATTTTAAATGAATACCTTAAGTGATTCATGGGCTGTTTTTTGTTACGTTTTTATTTGTAAATAAACCTGTTGCTACTATGTCAGTGAAATATTGCAACGCTGGTGAATTAAATTCGGGGGATCAAAAATGGACGTTTAGTTTATTCTTTAATTTTTTCACATAGCACCATCTAGTATAACGTATATCAAACAAACAATTGTATATTAAAAGCTATTGAGACAGAAAGAGTGGTGACATCTAGTGACTGTCTCAATTGGAATCAAACAAATTTATACATTGCGTTGGCTAACTAGTCCTATTTAAACAATGATAACTTATAAGTTTCCTCTCGTCTAAAATTTGTTTAAATTGCTTCACTTTTTGCTGATAGACGAAAAAAGCAAAAATTTTCCGCTTTTTTACCTTAATTTGTTAATAACTAATTAAGTCCAAAAAATCGACTGCAGGAAACATATAGGTTTTTGTTACAGAGGTCCGTACTACTCAAAACAACTGTCGTTTGCCTGGCCGGACGAGTGTCATGAAAAAATGCTTATTTCCCTGGGCTATATGGAATAAATTCATTTTTAGCGTTATTATGTACTATGTGAAAAAAACCTGAAACAGGTCGATTTTTATTCTTAAATTGACACTTTACAGTATGAAAATAATATCCCCTTCCAGCACCCCCTTTGAATTATAAGCACCCCCTCGAAAATTTTAAATAGCAAAGGGGGTCGTGTGACACCTTGTTAGAAAGGGATTTTAGTCCTCTATTCAGCAATATTAAGTTTTTTTAAGTTTGTGCAATCATAACTGAGAAAATTGATTTTTACAATTAAATTAAATATTTAATTTTACCACCATTATTCACTTCTTGACAATAATCGAGGCGATTTTGGAATTCTCATACAAAATTTTATATGATCTCGGGGGTTATTTTGTTAATTTCTTCCGTTATCCCAACTTTTATATCAGCAATATTGCCTGGCCGATTAAAATAGACTTCAGAAATAATCAGGTATTTTCGTATCTGTTCTGCTAAACGTTAGGGAAAAAATTTTGAAGATAATAAAATATTGGTTAAAAGCCCAAATAAACAATTGATATGAATCTAGTAGGCTGCTGTCATTTAGGTATTTAAGGTTGCTAGAAGACGTGAGAATAATATTTGTGCACGTATTAAATTTAATTATGGCTCATTTGTCCGAGACTAAAAGAATAGACATTTTAATTATGATTAGTTGTGGTAATAAAACAAGAGTTCAAAAGGAGGTTTGTGAAATGTTAATAATGAATACCCTAGTCAACAAGTTTCCCAGTCTACAGTTAGCACAATTGCAAAGAAGTTTCGTTATACTGGACATGTAAAAAATATTGAAAAACCAGGTAGAAATATTAAATTTATTGATGAAAAAAAGTTAGATGTACTTCTAGAGATTGAGGAAAATCCGCATAAGACAACTCGAGAAATTGCCGCCGTCAATGATGTAAGTAAATCATCTATTTTGACAGTTTTACATAAAGAAAAATACCACCCTTACAAAGTTCAGTTGGTTCAGTAGTTAAATGAAGATGATCTTGATAGAAGGCAAGAATTCTATGAAATGATGATGGACAAAATAAACGCAGATTTGCAGTTCATCAACAAAATTGTTTTTTCTGATGAAGCGACGTTTCATTTAAACGGAACGGTTAACAAACAGAACTGTAGATATTGGCGTAGAGAAAATTCTCACTGGGTGTGTGAGACTCACACGCAATATCCTAAAAAAATTAAAAATTGGGCTGGTATCATTAATAATAAAATTATTGGTCCTTATTTTTTTGAGGGCACAGTTCATGGTGAGGTTTATCTAGATTTTTTGATTAACTTGTTAGTGCCTACATTACGAAGATTTTTTCCTAATGTTAATCATCCAAGTGGTCGACCTATCTACTACCAACAAGATGGAGCTCCACCGTATTTTGCACTTATAATTAGAAATTATTTAAACGATGTTTTTTCCAATAGGTTGATTGGAAGACATGGGACCATCGAATGGCCGGCTAGATCCCCCGATTTGACTCCTCTCGATTACTTTTTATGGGGATATTTAAAATCTAAAGTATGTTTTAATAGACCAAACAGCATTGCTGATTGAAAAGTTAGGATAACGGAAGAAATTAAAAAAATAACTCTAGAGAGTCATACAAAATGTTGAACGAGAATTCCAAAATCGCCTCGGATATTGTCAAGAAGGGAATAGTGGTCATTTTGAACATTTAATTTAATTGTAAAGTACATTGAAAAATACATTCTAAATATTATGTGACATTATTATCTTCACTCAACCTAAAATTTTGTGATAAAGACATTATCAAAATTTTACATTTTAAAAATCAATTTTCTTAGTTATGATAGCACCAAACTTAAAAAACTTTATATTGCTGAACAGAGGACTAAAATCCCTTTCTAACAAGGTGCCATACGACCCCCTTTGTTATTTAAAATTTACGAGGGGGTGCTTATAATTCAAAAGGGGTGCTGGAGTGGAATAATATTTTCATACTGTAAATTGTCAATTTAAGAATAAAAATCAACCTCTTTCAGGATTTTTTCATATAGTTCTTAATAACGCTAAAAATGAATTTATTCCATACATATGGACCGCATAGTATATTACACAATGACAACTAATAAGTTCAAAAACTGCTAGTACTTAAACTGTAAACTTCCTATATTTTTATATTAATTTTTTGATGTTCCACATATTACTAGACATTTTTCGATGACAATCTTAAACATTCTAGATTTTTTAATGTCTCGTCTTTTTATCAAGGTCTATATGGAATAGATCTCACGGAACTGTCGTAACAATATTAATATCTTTGTTTTCTAGGAAGCTGGAATTCCTATTGATATGGTAGGAGGTGTTAGTATTGGAGCATTTATGGGAGCCTTATGGTGTCAAGAGAGGAACATGACGACTATGACTCAAAAAGCAAGAGAGTGGTCTAAAGTAAGTGTATTATTTTTATCATAAAGGAATATCGAGAATAATCTGAAATAAAGTTTAAATTGTACAGTATAAATAATATTTTCAATAAATTTTTTATATATAAACATTGAAACGTTATTCTGTACAACATTAATAATAAGTTTTCCCTGTGGGAGTTTTTGTTAGTTCTTTTATCAGCTTCTCTATGGTATTCGTAGTACCGATACCCAGATGGTAGCACTTACACCTAGCGATAGGTATCAAATGCACACACATGACAATGGTGAATAATAGTTTATGTTTAATGTCCCTTCCTGGAGATCTCCAAGGCATGTCTGGAGCTAGTGTACAAGTAGGGGGGTTGTATCCCCTATTGTAAAATCTGGAACTAGAGGGTGAGAAAACCTTCACCACTGTACAACGCTGTCACCACTGTAACATCCTCGACATGAACCTTAAGGATGCTTATCCCTGCGAGCGGCTGCAAGGCTTACTGGTCCCACTAGTCTGAACTGGCTGGCTCGCCTTCGTGGATTTACAAGAAGGTAGGGAATTCTGAGATAGGGGTTAAGGACTTCTAGGTCTCAGGTCCTGTAAAGAGTTTGAGTCTATGGTCTTACTTTAGAAGCCGGATAAATGCATAAGCAGAACTTTTGTACTCTTCTGGTCTCTGTCTGAATCGGCCGGGAAGGAACATTAAAATCAAATTTCAAGTCTACAAATGTATTAAATATACTATGTGATTTACAATTGAGTTAACAAGCTGTCAGTTATAACCAATAATAATTCGTTCAGGCGCGAAGGGAGACGAGAAGAGATCTTAGCAAGAAAGTAAAGGGGTGACAATATGTACTATTATATATTACTCGGGTTAGTATATAGATTTTTGTTACCTTCGCGTATTTAGGCTCTAGCTAATGAATACGCCCTTCAGTTTCTCTGTAATTCAAGTTCAGTTGTGGAGAATATCGCGTTCTGACAGATGAGTCCTAGTGATTTAAACTGGGTCGGTGCTGGTGATATTTTCCAGAGTAGGTCTATGTTTATTAAAACGTGACTATTTTCTTTTGGAACAATTGTTGCAACTGATATTGGCTCGTGTCATGCCATTACCTGGGTCAAATTGTGTTTCCTTGTATAATTTAAAATGTATACGTTACTGTATCGAATTTATTCTTTATTTAATTTGGAATATATAATAATTATTAAAATGATTATTATTCTTCCCTATGCTACTAGCCCTTATTTTTTCTATTCTTTATTTTCTTGCTATGTTTACATTACACTAGCGCTTGTCGTGACAGTATGCGAGACGTCGTGGCAGGGTGTTAAGGCGGCGGGCCCTGTCATTCAATCAGCTATAGCCCATCAGCAACATTCACAAGCGAGACAGTCCAATAATTGGACATGAGTGAATATATTTTGGGCTTTTATTGAAGGTGACAAACCTCGGTTAAGAAACGATCGGCTATAGACAACATCTATATTCTGAATTTTGCAAGGAGTACCCAGAAATTCAAGTATCTGCATAATAAGTAGTAGACTCCGACAAAGTTTAGTTTGAGAATATGACTCATAACTCGACGATGCGCAGTGATTCTTGTTTACTAGCGGTAACATTAAAACGGCCAGTTTGCTGTTTGCCAGTGTCGTAGTTGTGTATCGCACAGAGTGTTTGACTTGTTGATTTGATCGTGTTGGATATTTTATTTTATATTGGTAGTAGTACCTAATTAGTGAATTATTATTAAGTCATTTAGTGTATTTATAGTGTGTTAAGTTTAGTTATTAATAATAGTTATTTGACAATATGGCTCCTAAAAAGATAAAAACAAAAAGGCTGGGATTAAATAGCCAAGCAAAGGCGATAATTTATAATGTTACTACCTGAAAACCTGTTAGTACCTTTTAAGACAAAATTTCTAACGAGATTTCTTCGCTAGAAAGCAAAGTTTCTGCTAACATCTCCTTGGAAATCTCTAAAGTCACTTCTGAGATGTCTGCCCTCGACGACAGAATGTCTTCGTTAAAAAACCAAGTTTCGGCCGATATATTGGCCTTCGAAGAAAAGATGAAAGAGATGGAAAGGAAGATGGAGGGAACAGGAATGGCAGAGATAGGAAATAATCCAATTACAGTAGAGACAAAAGAAGACGAGATGAAATGTAAGTTGGAGACACGGCCGAAATTTGAGGGAAGTGAAGTTTCTGTTCATGTTAAAGTCCCAACTTTCGACGGAAAATCATCATGGAACAACTACATGAAACAGTTCGAATCAGCTGCAAGAGCGAATGGATGGTCTGAAAAAGAAAAGGCTGTAAACCTGACTATCGCTCTTCGAGGAGATGCCTTAGATATGCTCCAGACCATAGCCGTAGAGGAGACGGATGATTTCGAACAACTCAAGAAGAGGTTAAATATGCGATGTGGCCACGAATACTTGGAGCATGTATATGTCACAGCTTGAAAATCGAAGACAAAAGAAAGATGAGACTCTTCAAGAATATGAGGTAGATATTGCCAGATTAGTGCGATATGCTTATCCAACAGCTCCCGAAGACATGATGGAAAAATTGGCCGTTCAAACGTTTATTGATGGTCTTCGTGATCATGAAATGCAGAGAACACTACGATTAACTCGTCACAAGACGCTGATTGATGTCTTATCTGCCGCCCTCGAATACGAGTCAGCTACGCAGGCCTCTGGTGGGTACAGTAAAGTTAGGACTGTAAAAGAGGAAGAAGATGAAGAAAAACTTGACCAGCTCGTTAATATGGTGAAAAGCATGACACACAAGAAAACGAAGACCATAAGACCGAAGACAAAACCAGAACGGGTCGGCCTTAGGGGGGCAGCTTCGACACAGAACTTTTCCAAAGACCCACAGTCGTGCCTGCGAGAAGTGAAACGATAATAGTAGCGCGCGTACAGGGAATTGTGGACGAAGGTACACCTGTTATGATGGAGCCTTGGAACCATGACGACGAAGTGGGCCGAGGAATCATAATTCTAAAGGAATTGGTAACTTCGGTTAAAGAAATTCATGTGAGACTTATCAAGTCAATGACTATCCAGTCACCGTCAAGAAAGAGACAAAAGTAGGAACTTGTGTACCTGTGACATCCATAATCTGTCACACGACAACATCTGATAATTCCAACGACAAATTCGACCAAATGGTTGTAGTTGCTGGACAGTCTCTGAATCAGATTGAGAAAAGGAAATTAAGGGAATTTCTTCGGCAGTATCGTGATATTTTCGTACCGAAAGGAGGAAAGACGGGAAGAACTACCGTTGTTAAGCATAAAATTGATACTGGTAATGCTAAGCCAATTCGTTAAACAGCTCGACGATTACCACAGGCGAAAAGAGAGGAAGCTGAAACGATTGTTCAGGAAATGAAGAAAGACGGGGTAATAGAACCTTCTACAAGCCCATGGGTTTCACCGGTGGTCCTGGTTAAGAAGAAAGACGGAACAACGAGGTTCTGTGTGGATTACCGTTTGCTGAACAACGTTACCAAGAAAGATAGTTATCCACTGCCTTGGATCGATGACACATTGGACACATTGTCTGGAAGTAAATTATTTTCTACTTTGGATTTGAAGTCTGGATACTGACAGGTAGATAAAGAAAAGACAGCCTTCACCACACGATCGGGATTATGGCAATTCAACGTTATGCCATTTGGACTCTGTAATGCTCCTGCAACATTTGAGAGGGTTATCTTGGAAAACATGCCTAGTTTATCTAGATGACATAATCGTCTTGGGGGAGACATTTGAAGATCATTTGAGGAATTTAGAAAACGTTTTTAATCGACTTAAAGCTGCCCAATTGATGTTAAACCCCAAGAACGGCCAGCTATTTCAAGGTAAAGTCAGTTATCTGGGTCATATAGTCAGTAAAGAAGGAGTGGCCGTGGATAAGGGAAAAATCGATTGCATTAAGGAATGGCCAAAACCAACTGACAAACATCAAGTGAGAAGTTTTCTTGGACTATGTACTTATTACCGGAGGTTTATTAAGAAGTTTGCAGATATCGCTAAACCATTAACGCGACTTACAGAGGAAGCAAGAGAATACCGCTGGGATTCTCTTGCTTCTTTTGGTAGACTGCCAAAATGCCTTTGAGACCTTAAAAAAGCATTTAATCACAGCACCAATTTTAGGGTATCCACTGCCAGAAGGAGAGTTCATCTTAGATACAGATGCAAGTTATGTGGGAATTGGAGGAGTGCTGTCTCAGATTCAAGGAGGACAGGAAAGAGTCCTTGGATATTTTAGTAAAGTTCTCTCAAAACCTGAGCGGAATTATTGCGTCACGAGAAGAGAACTTCTGGCAGTAGTGAAATCAGTTGAGCACTTCTATCAATACCTCTATGGAAGGAAGTTTTTAATCCGAACCGACCATGCCGCCCTTAAATGGTTGATGCAGTTTAAGAATCCAGAGGGTCAGATAGCCAGGTGGATCGAATGACTCCAAGAATATGATTTTAAGATTGAGCACCGGGCCGGAGTTAGCCACCGAAACTCTGATTCTCTTTCCAGAAGGCCATGCCCATCAGAGTGTTTCCACTGCAACAAAACGGAATCCAAGGAAGCAGCAGTGCTAAGAACGACGGTGGTCAACGACGACTGGACGCCTACCAAGATCAGGGAAGAACAAGAGAGAGATCCAGTTATACAGAAAATCCGAAAATGGAAAGAGGAAAACCGTCTACCACCTTGGCAAGAAATATCGAACCTAGGCTCAGTAGTTAAGACGTATTGGGCCCAATGGGACTCACTTATCTTGGAAGATGGCTTGCTCAAACGAGTCCTGGAAAATGATGACGGTTCAGAGAAGAGAAGACAGTTGGTGATTCCAAAGAGCAGAATAGCCGAAGTACTTCGTCAGTTACACGACAGTCCATCAGGAGGGCATTTTGGTGTGAAGAAGACCCTTCAGCGAATTCGGGAACGGTTTTATTGGATGAACAGTTCCGACGATGTAAAAGACTGGTGTAAGAAATGTACT